ATATCATCAATATATTTATATTCTAAATCTTTTACCTGTCATTTCATTTATTGAATACATTGTAAGAGCTTCTATTTTTTTTTTTAATTTTGTTATTTCATTTTGTAACTCTTCAATTGATGCTAAAGAATTATTATTATCAGTTGCAATATTTTCAGTTGACTCATGTCTTTTAAATGGCTTGTTATCATTTTTCTTGTTGTATTTTTGATTCCTGTCATATTGCACCACAAAATTATAACAATTTGTACAAAGAGAATCACCAATGTTTACAAAAAATTCTCCCTTGTTAGCTTTTTTCTTAACATCTTCAGTAACATTTCTAAATGTTGAGAATTTTTCTTTACAGTAATTGCAGAATTGTTTTTTAAGCAGCATTTAATAGATTGCAATTTTGAAAAGTGTGATCTTCTCTGTGATCTTTTGACAGTTTGTATAAAACAACTAAGAGAATAATATATTGAAGTTTGAATGGTCATTAATTAGCACACTTGCACCCACTTTAATTGATGGGACTGGTTGATTATTTTTAAACAATATAAATAATCTGTGTAACAATTTACGTGATATTCAAATGTCCACCATGCTGATTTTCTTTTCTTCTTTTTTCCTTACTAGTTGCGTAACCTTTTGTTACTTTAAACTTCCATGCTCAAAACACTTATCTCTTCAAAGATTATTTTTCTTCAAAAGAAAATATTATCTTTTTCACCTAAAAGAAAATATGTACAATAATAATCCAAGTGTAGATAATGTATATAATTATAAGTTACTACCCAAAAGAAATCTTTTTTATATATTAAACCAAGGTGTATATAGCAGTTGTGTTGAAATTTTTTTTTAAAAAAAAGTTAATTTAATTTACAAAAATGTTGAGAATTTGCCAAAAAAAAAAAAGAATTTACAAAAATGATGTAAAAATGAATACATTTTTATATTTTTTTTTCTTTATAAATACAACTTTTGTACCAAAAAATTTCCTTGAGGGAGTGATCAACAACGCAACCATTTTCGCAAAACATCAAAAACCCTTAATTATATTTTTTTAGGATAGTAATATATCATCAGGAAATTTTTTCTGACGCGAACATTAGAGCAAATGCGTTTAACAACGGTACATGGAATAAATAGTATACATTCAACAAAGAAGAAATCTATAACTACTCTATAGAATTATCACAGAATTATTTGATTATCAAACATTCACGCCATGGAAGAACGAAGGACGAAGACACTCTTTTAAAAAATTATCTTTTAGGAGTTAACATAATACTCGTGTAAGAGACTGTAGATTCAGTGATCGCTTTAGTGATGCGTAAATTTTATTCCTTCAATAACGTATTTAAAGAAAGAAACAAGTTTTTACGCGCATCCGCATTGGGGCTCATTATTATATTTATATTTATATATATATGGTGGTGATAATATATTATATCGCATTTTTCAAAATCATTAAATATTTTAAAAAAATGGAAAACAGTAAATATTTAATCAAGATTCAAAATGATTAGCTTTCTAAAGGATGTTTTTAGTTTGATGGATGATAATAATTTAGAAATCTTGGAATTTAATAGTTGAAGAATTGCAATAGATGAATAGGATGAATTATTTAAAACAATATATAAATGTTAATATAAAAATACTATATAATAAATAATAAATATATAAACTAAATGACACATATCATTCATTACCAGGCGGTCCCTCTCACATCATTGATTTGGGAAGATGAAGAAATGTCATAGTTGTCAAAAAACAAACGAACCGAGGGGAGATCATATACGATAATAAAAGGCGGTGCCTCTCGCATTATTGATTGGAAAGATGATAATGTAAAACGGAGTTGCTAAACACTTTATCCAGGGGGAAATCATATCAGATAATAAAAGGCGATGTCTCTCACATTATTGATTGGAACAGGGTTGGCAAATTGACTGGTCCATTGAGAACTGATGGACTTCGGACTGATCCATTGCCATTAATAAAATACTAAATATGGTTAAAGTGTTACACTAATGGACCCAATGGACCACATATTTGCCAACCCTGGATTGGAAAGATAACGATAATGTAAAACGTGGTTGCTGAAAAACATACAAATTTACATGAAGTCGAAATATAGAATTTTTGGAGGAAAATAAAATAACTGTACTGTCTCACCCACCCTACAGTCCAGATCTAACATATTTCCTAAAATAAAAAAAGAATTGGATTTAATTTACCTTTGGACATATAAATATTTTAATTGTAACAGTAATAATTAGTCATGTTATAAATATAATTATTTTTTTTTAAATAGAAATGTATTTTATTAATAAATATAATTAAAGATGTTAAAAAAACTTTGAGAGAGATTTAGAACAAATGTTTAATGAAGTTAATTTAAAAAAAAATTAAACGCTGTTTAATTGCACAAGAAGAAAATATAAACAATCCATATTTTATTAATAAAAATAATTTTAATTGGAACACTTTTTTTGATTTTATTACTGATTCGGAAGATAAAGTAATTAGAAAAGTATTAGAAACTGATAAAAATATGTTTAATGATTCTGATATGCTTCTATTAAAAATTATCATTTTCGAGAAGAAAATTGATAAGATAATGTTGATTATTGAAAAGAAAATCTTAGAAACCCATTCCGAGAAGGAGGCCAAGATCATAAAAACAATC